TGAACCAGTATCGGAGCGCCGCATCTAGCTTTGCTGCCGGTCCGGTCCGCTCGGCCCACTCTCCCTTTCTAATGCGCCGGCAGCGGCTGTTGTAACGCGGCCGGTAATGCGGCGGTCAGGTGTGCCAACGCCAGCGGCGCGCCGGCACCAGCCAGACCGCCCCGGCCCCGCCCGGCGGCGCGGCCCCGGCTCGACACGCGATCCGCTCAACTGACCCGGACCGCAGCCTGGCCCGCACACCGCTGCCTGGCATGGTCAGAAGGCCTGGAGCCGGAATGTCGAATCCCGGATACATACACACCAAAGACCCACTGTTGGTTGTTTGTGAACAGGTCATGATCACCCGTCGATCTAAGATCTTCAATTCGGCTGCAGAGTTTTTCTTTTCTTTTCTTTCTTCCTTTCCGGGTAAATGACGGGCGTGGGTGAGCTCAGCAAAGCTAATCCAGCCGTGTCATCCTGCATCACGTCCGGCTTCGAAGCTACCGGAGAGCCAGGCCGGCTTTTCCTAGCCCACCTCGCCAGCCCTAACGCGCTCTGACTATCCATTGTCTATCGCCACCCCTTGCTGCCTGGATATCATACCTCGATAGGCCGGACCTTGTCAGGTGCTCACACAATACGTCTTCGAGCAGTACGTCTTGCGAGCGTGGGTACTTTGATTTTCGGGAGCAGGCCTTCCGGACATGAGTCATTCCACAGGAAGTCTCGAGATTATGGGTTTTCCAAGCGTAGGTCTTTCGAGCGTACGTCCACCGAGCAGTAGGTCCTCCGAGTGTAGGTATTGCGGAAGTAGGTGGTTGAACAGGAGTAGATGTTCCGAGAGTAGGCATTCCAGGAGTCAGATTGCCAACTGTAGGTCTTCCGAGCATGGGTCTTTTCAAGCGTAGGTCTTCCGAGCGTAGGTATCCATGCAGAAGGTCAGCCGAGCGATAGGTCTTCCGGGCCGATCCCACCGTGTCCTTCCTTCCCAAACAGAGAAGCGTGGCCGAGCCGGCCGCAAACCAAAGCTTTTCTGCATAGCCACTAGATGGCAGTACGGTCAACGCCGAAGACCAAACTGTTCCCTTTAACCATTGAAGTCAGCGACGAAGGACACTAATGACAACGAAATTCCAGGGAGCAATAGCAACAGATGCAAGCGTGACCATATAAAATACATACATTATATATTACGTTGCCATTATGACACGAATAATACAACAACTAGGATCGAAGAAACATGATAGGAGAGCGCTACATAAGCCACCTTTAAGTGCCGCGCACGTGACGGTGCGCCCCGAAGTGGTACCTTCGGGCTCACGTGGGCTATCAAAGCTCCCCTCAGCCTGGGAAAAGTCCCCGCACATCGGACCGAGAGGGTCACGAGACAGTTCTCGTTAATTTGGCATCAATTACCGCCCCGGTGGTGAGCAGCTGATAGTTGTGCGATCACAGTTCTGTACCGCGAATCAGAATGGGGCTTACTCTCGGGGCGCACCCTTTTCGCACCGCTCGCACCAAGGGTACTCCCGAAACCCGGCTAGCCATGCTATGCTATGACGTTATCACGGGACTAAGTCCTACGGAGGCGTCAAAACGCTGGTTTGCTGCTGGTGCGGCTGGTTTAAACATAGATATGTCCATAAGCCGATTTTTTCGACCTAGCACATTCAATGACACATGTTCAGCTGGGAAATCATGTTGGTTTGCAACAGAGCCACAAAATTATTGATGAAATGCGTTTCGAGCCTACCCCCGACAGACAGATGGGGTTACCTATTCACCAGTGATTTATCCCGAAGACCTCTAGCCGGAAGTGCTTAGAACCAGTCTGTGTAAAAGAGTACGATATGCAACAACAACATAGGAGGGAAATGAGATACGGCGGGCCAGACGGGCTCGCGGCACCCTGGGACGCGCATTGAGAAGTTGGAGTACACATCCTTTAGCCTTAGCCAGAGCGTCTGTCGGGGTGGATGCAGGGTTGGCCTGCCCTTATTGGGGTAGTGAGCGGTGAAACCCGGGGGCTTAGATACAGCGCGTGCCATTTCAGTTCAAGATAGCGGAATTTTCCTGTAAAATGGGCCGATTTCTAGCAAGTTTTGCAATTTCTGCCATTCAAAGAGTCGAAGTGCATATTTCAGCTCCAAGAGTAGTCTACAAAGGATATTTCAGGGTGGTGGTGAGTATCATTCTCCTGCGCACCATTTTTATCTAACCCATCCCACATTATACATCTACAAGTTACCCAACACTTGGAAGATCATAGCAGCAGCAACAGAGAGATTCTTGGCACATGCTCTCCTCACATTACCTTACTTTAGCACATTTCGCTCCATACACGTACTGCAGTGCGAAAAGATTATGCGCAATAATGCCCTATTTATTAATTCAATGTAACCATTACATACTATAATGTTAATTTACACGTCAATACTCCTTTTACAAAAGCGCATTACATACAGACATTTACGCGCGTTAGCCACGACGAATGTGGCGTGGGTGCTGCAACTAGAAAAGGTGGTTTAGTAGGACTTATTTTCGCAATCATGATCCTAGTATTTAATTGTCTTTACAAGGTTCAAAATGAAACATTATTATAGATTTTCAAATAACATTAAAATACAGACGAAGAATGGGGATGTCTTCCAGTTCAATGGCGAAATCACTGTTTTAAATCGTGTGACTAGTATCTACCAATCTGTTCGTAGTATCAACCAAAAACCATCCTGTGGGCTACTAAACTTTAGTCCCATGGTGACGTCACGTCTCGTAGCTTTCTCTAGTAGCCTTGGGTTGCTTCTCCCAGTGCCGCGCACTCGACCTTCCCAGCCTACAATTGCAGCATGGGTTCAAGCTTCAAACGCACAGACTCAGCTGGCATTTCGAAGATGCATTTCTAAATCGCACTACACATCCCAATGTCACCTTGGCAGACCGCTCACGAATTGATATGCGATCATGTCAGGCAGCAAATATCACGGTTCGCCGTACTCCCACTGGGCATCTAAGCGGACGAAATCCCGCTCTTTCGACGCTTTTCGAACACAAAACCGTCGAATGTATTTATTCTTGCACCGAACCCACTAAGACGACAACCGCAACGGCGAGTATACTTTTGCTTATGCCCAGATATACTTAGGATAGCCGGACTTAAAGTCGAGCAGGCTCAAGTGCATGCCATAAATCACCATCAAAGTTTGAACCGCGGTCACCTACGCACCGTTTGAAAACATTTCGATTCTGCGCGAAAACACGACCATATGCATCGTAAGGCAACAAACTTTAAATACTTCCATCGTGGTCAGAGTCAAAGAGAAGTCAAGTTGTGGTCGCGAGTCGTGCAATAAATGTTATGATTTTACCATTGACACCAGAGGCACAGCCAGAATTTGAGAGGGACGAGGACTGCCACGACTTTGCGACGGGACGGAGATAATTTTCGGCTAGTGAGTGCCAGACTACTGACAGCACTTTTGCACTTCGAACAAACTAGCAGAATCCCCCCAAACGCTAATAGGTAAAGTGCCTAGCGTATCAATGAGCCATCGATGTTGGTTTGCCCTGATGCGTTAAACAACTGCTTCGACTGCGAACCGTGCACATTCACTCGACCATCCGCAGTCTCGTCACCAAATTACGGCTGTTGGCCTATGCATACCGCTGCTCACGGTCGTGTAGGCAAGCCATTTTAATTCGAAATCTCATAGATCTATGATTATGGAACTTAAAAGCAAAATAGTTTTTCTAATCGACGGATTCCGGAACTACATTCAGGAGCGTCGTGGTGAGAAGCTGCGCTCGAACATGACGGTGGAGCTACTGTCTCGCCCCATTGTATGCGTCACCGGTTGGAACGCAACAAACACACCGATAATTATTGGTAAATTGCCTGTCCTTAATAAAATGGTCAGTTGCAGCTCAACCTGAAAAAGCTTACAATTGTTTCAGGCTGAGATTGTAAGTAATGTATTGCTCCACAAGCAGCTACTGAATACACATCCATGGTTCCCCTTTTCAGTCATATATATATATATATATATATATATATATATATATATATATATATAAATATATCATGTATTATATCTAGATATATATATGTATATTATATATATACTACATATTATATGTCTATATCTCCTCTCTCCTCTCCCTCTTCCCTCTCCTCTCTCTCCTCTCCTCTCTCTCTCCCCTCTCCCTCTCCCTCTCCCTCTCCCTCTCCCTCGTCGGCTTCACAGCGCCACTGGCGGCTGACACCAAGGCAGCGATGGGCAGGGGCGGGCGAGCAGGTTCAAACTTGAGCAGTTAGCAAACATTTCCTATATCGAGAAACCGCAGAGGAATTACTGGTTTGCCTGCCCCCCATGTCTCGATCATACCATTCTGCTTCACAACTGAAATTATCTATGAAGATAAAGCTTAACACGCGTTAGGTATATCTGGAAATGACAGACGTGAAAGTACAGTGATTGTGATATGAATTTCCTCATAATCATACCCTGCAACTTGCCTTCTTTTCGTACCTCGCGAGAACGGTACGTGTATTGGGGACCTACTGAAGTCAAAAATACGCGGCAGCCGTAGCTAAAGCGTCCGTTTTTGGTTTTCCATTGAAGCAAATAGGTCATTCACGAATGTTTACAACATATGGGCCTGTTTTCGCGGATACGCGGCAGGACAATTTCAAGGATGTCAATTCGATGATGTGGATATGTCCTGAGCTCATATTCACTGCAGCCGTTTCATACCAATTGGTGGATATGGATATATCCGAGTTTAAATCCACTGACCATTTAAAAAAGCACGCCTGCGCCGCACACCCTCGTCTTGATTGGAAGCAGTCGGACCACTAAGCCACAGTGCGGCCACAGGGTAATGACGCAGAGATACCCAACCGACATTGCTGGTATTGACAACAATGTCAAGGGCAGCAGACTTTGCCACGCTGCGCGGTCTCTTTGAAAAATCACAACAAGGAGGCTATTCTGCCGCACTATTCAAAGGGGGGACAGTACCTGGTGTGCCTGCAGACTTCGCCTTCGTCTTTCGGCCCCCACGCGAGGGAGTGGCAGGCGGCTGCTGGGCTGCTGCGGCAGCTGCAGCCGGCTGCTCAGCTGCTGCTGCGCTCATAGCTGGCTGTCGGTCTGCAACAAAACACGACCCAATACAACGACCGGCTGAAAACGGTACGAAAGGGTCCACGTTCCTGCAGGCTGGAGGGAGAAACCAGAGTAAGGCATGTTGTGCACGTAATTTACATTCCACCCATAACCAGCCAGACACAATCAGCATCACCAACACCTCTAACGGCAGCACTGCCAGCCCGCCAACGTGGACCTGAGTGACCCGGGACTCAGTCCGGCACCAGACCCTGCTCGAGCGGATCCCTCCCACTCCCAGACTGTCTGCACGCTCGGTGCCGCGCCCGCCGCCCGCCTTCGGCCGGCGCCGTCGGCCACGGCAGCGGCCGACCCGACGCAGAGGAGGGGAGCGTGCCGATCGGTGGCCTAACGTTGGAGCCGAGGCCGCCGCCGCCGCCGCCGCTGTCGACTCACCGGGCGCCGCCGGCCGGTCCGCCGCCTCGGCCCCAGCTCGGGACCGCGTGCTGGCAGCCTTCGCGCGGGACCCCTTGCGGCGCGGAGTGCTGACGGAGGCTATGAGGACACGTCAGACGCGGCAGGAGCAAGCCACGCTACATAACGCCACTGCTGGCTACGGACAATACAGCACAGTACAGGTAGCGGACAACGTTACAGCTACAATGTTCTGCTTCTGTTTTTTCCGCTCGTCACTGTTGTTTTTTTACCCAGCTTTTGTTGTTAAGACTATCTTTCACGTTCCGCGTGAAACTCAAATGTTGTATAAAGACACCCGACGGCGTACCGCCGTCTACGTACCACCGCCGTCTACAACCTACAGCTCAACGAAGGACTGCAAACATCACCGTGGACGAGACCAACCCACTCGGCAATCTGGTCAGATAGCCCGCCACCCATACAACCAGACCCCATTACAGCCGGGTGTCTTTGACTCCCACGTGACCATACTCCGGCGCCCATGCCGGCCGTGTTCCCGCGGCACCGCTGCCTCCACCTGCCCCGCCGGGGCCGCCACTAACCGGCGCGGCGAGGGTCGGCGGCCGCCTCCTGCCCGCTGCTGGTGTCGAAGTCGGGCTGCCGGAGGCCGGTCCGTCGCCGGCCCGTCATCAGGTTATCTGGCGGTGGTTATCGGTGGTTATCTGGCGCCGGGTCAGCGGGGTGGCGGAGCGGAGGAACGGCCCGGCCGCAGACGGCACCGACTCACGCCACTCGGCCCAGCGAGCCGAGCGGCGCGCTCGCCGCCCCCATGAGTCCAGCCCTGAGGTCGGCACGACCACGGCTCCCCAGCGCGAGCGCCCCACGTGAGATGAACACTGCGTGGCGCTCTAACACGCTTCGCGCATTCCAGCAAGGCGAGCCGCTGCCAAACATCGCACGGAGCACGTCATGGGAAGCGTTACACCGCGCGCGATCGGCCCCCGTGACGAGTACAGTTGGTGAGTGGTGAGTACAGCAGTGAGGTGAGTGTTCCCCTAGCCATCAGCGGCGGACAGCAGGGCGCCGGCGTGGCGGGCGGCGCGCCGGCTGTACCCACCGAGGCTGAGGTCGCGGGAGGGCGAGCCGACGGCCAGCCTGCCCAGCGACGGCCGACGGCGCTCGGTCACGATCTGCGCCTGGTCCCGGGTCAGCAGCACGCGGGCGCGGCCCACCGCGCACGTCACGCCGCGGACGTCCAGGGACACGATGTACTCCACCTCGTCCTCGCGCGTCGTCCTGCCGACAGAGAGTTCGGCTCGTTTCAGGCGCCCACCGCCAGCGGACACCGGAGGCGAGGGGAGGGCCGGCCTGTCGCCGCGTCAGACAGCCACTCAGCGGGCCAGCCCCCAACAGGCGATGGCGGGTTCCATGTCCAATGGCGGGTCTCGTGTCCCATGGCGTGTCCCGTGTCCATTAGCGGGTTCCGTGTCCGGTGGCGGATCCCGTGTACGGCCCGACGGGCCAAACCTTGGCAGGCCTAGAACGAGCGATGGCGGGTCCGGGGGCGCGGCACTGCTGGCGACTGAAGAGCCACGTCGCTTCAGTTAGCAATGAGTTGGTTTCTACGGCCCAACATCCATCAACGATGAGAACAGCTCACGTGGCGGTGGGTCAACAGCTGCCGAATCCAACATACGAGATCACGGCACCGGATGCCGAGCTGTTTGCTCACAAAGTGATCCCCCAACTGTTGCGGCGCCGCCTGCGAACAGTCGCCGCCACCCGCCGACTCACAGCCGGTGTCCGGTGATGATGGCCGAGTGGTACTCCTCCTCGGCCTCGGGCCGCTACGAACACGGACAGGCCGCTCCAGAGCGTGATCACGGGCAGCACCTGCGCCTCGGGCACCTGGCGCTCCGTGCCGTCGTCAAACTGCACCTGCCAGCGGCCGCCTCGGCCGGGCGCCACCAGCCGGCCAGGGTAGTAGCTCTGGTCCACCCACATGGCGAAACAGGGCAGACCTGCGGAGGGAGGACCTCCGTCAGCTGGCGTGTCGGTGGAGGGCGGATCTCAGACCCTGCCGTATGGCCGGTACGGGGCTGTGTTTTGATCAACAGAAGAGCTGCGTTGTTTGTGCCGTGAGCGCATGATCATAATACGGCTGTCCCTTGTGGCACGCTTCCAGCTACACCTGCCTCCAAGACCACAATTCGCTCAGCACAACTATCAGAATAAGGCAAAATTTCGCAATTCGAACGAAGCGCATTGCTTCAGCAGCTACACCAGCCGGCGGTGGCAGGCGCGTGCTGAGTCCGCGCGGGCGTACGCGGGCGGACGGCGGGCGGCGGCTCACCGGGCTGGAGTGCGCGGCTCGCCAGCTGGCTCTGCTCGCGCTCGCTCAGTTCGTGCTCCTCCTGGCCGGTCAGTCGGCGGTCGGGCTCCGACACCGGCGGCGGCAGCTCGCCGATCTCGGGGCTCGAGCTGCTCGTGCCCGTCACGTGCGACTCGTGCGCGCCGGCCTCCTGCGAGAAGGCCACCCGCTTGGCCGGCCGGCCGCCCTCCACCTGGGTGGAGGTGGCCGCCGGAGGGCTTCCAGGCCGCGCGCCAGCAGGTCCAGCTGGCGGCGGCGCGCCTGCGACTCCTCCGGCAGCGAGTCGCCGGCGCTGGCCAGCGACGACACGGCCGTCGGCTGGCCGTGCGGCCGCGGCGGCCTGCCGTCCGGCGACACGAACTCTGGAACTGGGCCGGCGCCATCAGCGGATCGCGCGCGCGCGGCCGCGGCGCTGACTGCGGCCCGGCTCGTGCCGCGGGCAGTATTCCACACCCAGTAACACTGTCGGACAGCACAGCACGGTCACCAAAGGACGGATCGCGATTCACTGAGGGCGTTAACTTATGGCCTCACGGCACTGGTGAGTGTTATCAAAACTCAATCAACGTGGCAGGGGCCACGATGTTTGGCTCTTACGAGCTGGTCGGTCAATGATGTCACTTCGTCCGATTTTCGTTTTCCAAATTAATATGCCTGGTGTAATCAAGTAGGTTCTCCTACTCTTTTCATCCATTTCCAACCATACACATGACACACATGGGTGTGAGCGCACAATGACGATAAAACCGAAGCTCAGCATAGCTTTCTTACTAAATATCATGCGTTGAAAAAACCCGAACAAAGACCAGGTGTTTCGACGTGATTCAGAACTGTGATCAGGCGTGACAATGGAGAAACACTGGGACAATAGAGGCGAGCGTCGCGGTCACCACGACGTGGCCTCAGATCGATGAGCTAACTCTCCCAAACACGTCAACACGATCCACTACATCGTTTCCGACAGCTGTCTTCTGCGCGTGAGGCGTGCGGCGTGAGATGGCGCTGGCATCTGGCCGACCTGTGACAGGGCGGATGTGTGTGTGCGGCCACCACTCACTGGTCGGTATGACCTCCACATCGCTGCCGGGCGAGTAGGGCTGCACGGAGACGACGGAGGCGCGGCGCGCCTGCTGCGACGGTAGCGGCACCATCTCCATCGACGAGGCGATGGAGAGGCGCCCGCCGCGACCCTCGATGGTCGACAGCGTCACCGACGACAGGGTCGAAACGCTGCGGGTCACGGGGGTGTGAGCGCGGGCGGTCACACCCTGAGGGTCAGGGAGGTGTGACCACGGGTCACATCCTGGAGGCATGGGGACGGTACGGACGGTCACCCCGGGGGCACGGCGGATGAGGTCGGTCGGCCAACAGCCATCTGTCAGTCAGACCAGCTATACACAACGTCCACAGCCTACCCGGCACGGGTGGCACGGTAAGAAAGTACACACAGCCAGGGGCCTCTGAATGTCCAAGCTATAAACCGTAACTGATAACAAGGTCTGCACCCTGGAAGACGAGGGAGGTGGGAGTACGGGCAGTGGGCCCCACTCTGGCCGGCACGACCACAACCAGAACCAGATCAACTGGCAAAAGCGGCATCTGTCTCCGTCTGTAACGTGCCCGGTCACAGTCCAAATCCAGACGTCTGGCTAACACGGCGGCTACCCCGACGGACAGGCACCGTCCGATACAGGTGCGAGCGTCGGGCGACCGCTCCCACCGTTTGGAGGAGCCGTTGCTGGACTTGGACGTGCTGGAGGCGTCGGCAGTGTACCCGCCGCTCGTGTGCCCGCTGGCGGTGGAAGCCGAAACCGATGAAGATGAAGACGCCATCCGCTTGAGGAAGGCATTGCCGGCAGATTCGTCAAGCGAGATGTTGTCAACAATCTCCTGTCGGCGGGAATGGAAGCTGCTGGACCATGAAAGACCACCGGCGACGGATTCCAATCGAGTAAAAACGGTTCCTGTGTAGGAACGAAACAAACCACTTACGTTCACTCCCTACATAAAACGCATCCAATGCACCAAATGTGCACGACGTTGAGCTCTGTCGCACCAACTGTCACCAGTGACAAGTTACAACGCGCGCACCCACAGACCCAACAAACCACGTTGACGAAATGACATCTTACCTCGCCTCCTTTGCGCCATTTTACAGTGATCTGGATTTCGTTCAGAACGCAGCCTTCACGGGCTCTCGTGCCCGCCGAATTCAGCAGCATCTGAAGGTACGTTAGTCATTAGCACCAGGGGTGTGTCAGTCACCCGTACCAGCAGTGCCTCGGGGTACGTCAGCCATCAGTACCAGCAGTGCCTCGGGTGTGTGTCAGTCATCAGTGCTAGCAGCGGTTCAAGGTATGCCAGTCATCAGAGCCAGAAGCCGCCCAGTCATCAGTACCAGCGGTGCCTCAGGGTATGTCGGCCATCAGTGCCAGCAGTGCCTCGGAGTACCTCAGTCATCAGTGCCTCGGGGTATGTCAGTTATCAGTGCCAGCAGTGCCTTGGGGCATATCAGTCATGAGTGCCAGCAGCGCTTCAAGGTATGTCAGTCATCAGTGCCAGCAATGCTTCAAGGTATGCCAGTCATCAGAACCAGCAGTGCCTCGGGGTATGCCAGTCATCAGAACCAGCAGCGCCTCGGGGTATGTCAGTCATCAGTACCAGCAGTGCGTCGGGGCATGTCAGTCATGAGTGCCAGCATTGCTTCAATGTACGTCACTCATTAGCGTCAGCAGTGCCTCGGGGTATGTCAGTCATTAGTGTCAGCAGTACCTCGGGGTATGCTGGTCATCAGTGCCAACAATGCCTCGCGGTATGCCAGTCATCAGTGCCATTAGTGCCTCGGAGTATGCCAGTCATCAGTGCATACAATGCCTTAAGGTATGTCGGTCATCAGTAGCAGCAGTGGCTCAAGGTATGTAAGTCATCCGTGCCAGCAGTGCCTCGAGCCATGTCAGTCATCAGCGCCAGCAGTCCCCTCCATATGTCACGATTATAAGCAGTGGCAGGAAGTGCCAGCAGCGAACGCCGGCCGAAGAGTGCATTAATTATAGGCAAAAGGCACCACAGACCTGGCATGACCGCCAAGTTATCAAGATACAGCAAAATAAAACGATCGGGACGCTCGGCAACGGTTATCTAACCACAAGCAGCATTACAACATACGCCGAATGCTGTTAGCCAGCAGCATCGAGCTGATCAGCATGTTACCGACGGCCGTCGGTCCGCGGCCAGGGTGCTGACGGCAGCCGGCAGGCAGACCGCTAGCAGTGGAGAGAGAGAGAGAGAGAGAGAGAGAGAAAGAGAAAGAAAAGCAGAAAGAGAAAGAGAAAGAGAAAGAGAAGAGAAGAGAGAAAGAGAAAGAGAAAGAGAAAGAGAAAGAGAAAGAGA